TCTCTTCTAGATGTTTCAAATACTTTTAAAGTAGCAAACTTTGGGGAGAAATCAATTACATTAATTGTCACCATTTACTGAAGATATTGAGGAGAGTGAGAAAAATCGAGTATTGCTTTAAAGAAATATGGAGGCATCTATAAACCTCCTCTCTTCTACTTCATCAATTTTCCCTCTCCTACCCCTAATACTCCTAATATATATAGCATTCTGTAATATTTCTCATCTTAAATCCTCTTAGCCCCATAACTCCCTTACCTATTCACCCCTAACACCCCCCCCCCCATTTTTCTGCTCCTTTATATACTACAATGCATAGAAGTGTTATACTGGCTGTTTCTGTTTTCTCTCTTCCATAATCTTATGAAAGCATTCTGACGATGATTTTATTTGTGCTGGTCTGATCGATCCTCCAAGGACACCAATAATCCCCATGTTGCCTAATTCAATGATCTCCGTGTTTCCTAAACTGGTGGTCTGTACTCACTCAATCATCATTTTACTTTAACCTCTCGACAGCACTTGACTCACCTGATATCTTTCTCTTCTCATACTTTCTTGTTTCTCTTCCAACCTTACTAGCTGCACTTTCTCAATCTCCTTTGCTGGTTCCTCTTCCTTTTCTCAATCTCTAAACATTGGAGCTCACTTGAACTTCATTTTCGCTATTCTAGCAACAGTATTCCCTAGGTACATCATTCAGTCCCATGTTTTTAAATATCGTCGCATGGATGACTTCCACATCTGCATCTTTGGACCTTACCTCTGGACTGCAAACTTTGTTTTGTTCACTGCTGTATCATCAGAACCTAGAATAGTGACTGGCACAATACAAATGTTCAATAAATATATGTTGGATAAATTAATTAATGCTCTGCTTTACTTCCCAGGGTTATTATAAAAAATAATGAAAAAGGGATATAAAAGTAACTTGCAAACTGTATATCAGCCTGCAGTTAATAATCTTGCAGATTTCTATTATTCAAAAACAATAAAAAGAGTGGGATATGAGATAATTTTTAAAATGGATTTCATCTTTATAAACTAGATCTTCAAAAGTGGTATGTCTTCCCAAATTCATGTTCTACATCATTCATCAAACTCTGGACTTCAGGGAAAGAGATATAACAAATCTGTATTCAGATACAAAACGAAATGCTCTAATATTTGCTCTGATAAAAGTATGGTATCTTTAATGTGTGAGGCTCACAAATTTGCTAGATTCAGTAATGTCAACTTAAATGACATGTCCTTGCAAGGCTAGTTGCACAGCGTTAATCATTAACAATGCAAATAAGCAATTAGAAAAGTGATATGATCCATAGCTTTAGAGCATAATACTTTGTGAGCTGAGTGGCTGTCACTGAAAGAGTAAGATATGGATACAAGCTAATGGGATGAGTGTGGCTGAAGTACATGAATTCTAAGATTTATAACCTCTGCCTATTAAAGAAAATTGTCTTACAAGAGTAGTGATTCTCAAACTTTATGATACATCAGAATCATCTGGCAGGCATCTTAAAGCACAGATTTCTGGGTCCCACTGCCACAGTCTCTGATTCAATTGATCTGAGCTTGGGCCCAGGAATTCACATTTCCCACAAATACCCAGTTCTTCCTATCTTTCTGGACATATACACTCTGGTTTCATCACACTTTGAGAAACACTACAGTAGAGGGTTTATTAACATGTTCTTGGGGGCTATTAAGTTCAATTATGACTCCAAAATGTTTTCCCCAAACTTTCCAATATTCCTCAACATTCAAAGGATCATTTGTGGGCAGCCCGAGTGGCTCAGCAGTTTAGTGCCTGCCTTTGGCCCAGGGCGTGATCCTGGAGACCCAGGATCGAGTCCCACATCAGGCTCCCTGCATGGAGCCTGCTTCTCCCTCTCCCTGTGTCTCTGCCTCTCTCTCTCTCTCTCTCTCATGAATAAATAAATAAAGATCTTTAAAAAAAAAGTTCATTTGTGGTGTGTATTAAGAGACCTCCTAATAAAACAGTGCTTTTAATTTTAGTTTTACTCAAGCCGACAAACTCTCTGCCTTGCTTCTTTGACATTTCTTTGAAATGGCATTCCATTTGCTACAAATCGGTGATTATCTCATCGAGACTTGCTTTCTCTTGTGACTGCTCTGTATCATCATTGCTGGAGTAGCACTGATCTAAATGTACATGTCAGCTATTTTACCTGCCTGCCTCCTCCATTGGTCCAATAAAGTTTTGAATTCACTGATCTCCCAAACTAGCCAAGCTAAATTAGAAGACGACATAAGCTCTAGATGTCTCAGCTCTGCCAAGGAAATATCTATTTCTTGGGAATATCAGTGAGAATTTAATTAGATGCTGCGAAGGAAGTGCCTAGATTCCTAAGACCTGACATAAGTCAAAATACATTGTTGGACTTAAGTTCAGACTCTATTCCAGATTCAGGAAAATCTGGAAAACAGATATCCAAAATGTGATGAACTGTATAATTTTTGTAGTTAATGTACCTAGCACAAATAGTAGGTATTTTGAAAGAATGAGTCCAAGAATGTGAACAATTAGTGGAAATGTAACTATGCCTATTTGAGGTTTTAAATTTTTCATTAATTTTTTAAAAGTAAATAAATCACAGTTGTACTTTTTAAAAAAATATGACCAATAAAAGGGTGCTAGCATGGCTCAGTTGGTTAAGCATCTGCCTTTGGCTCAGGTCATGATTTCAGAGTTGGGGGATTGAGCCCCAACTCAGGGTCCTTGCTTAGTGGGGAGCCTGTTTCTCCCACTCCCTCTGTCCCTGCCCTCCCCCACTAGTTCTCTCTCTCTCTCTCTCTCTCTCGTGAATAAATAGAATCTTTAAAACAAAAAATAAATACATGACCAATATGAAAATCAGTATTTGCTTGAAAAATAAATCAATAGTTACTTTCCTATAAAAGGATTTTTCCTTATAGATGTATTCAGAATATGTGTTCAAAAATAAGCTAGCTCTCTGCATTTTAAAGGGTTCAAGTTATATACAAATTATTGAAAAATTTAGGATCAAAATTTTTATACTTGGAATAAAAATGACAGCATAGCAAACCATGTCCCAAACACTATTCAAGGTATTTTGTGGTATTATTCATTCAGTTAATTCACAATAACACCATGAGGCAGGTGCTTTTAGCACTCTCAGTTAAAGATGCAGGATCTCACAGCTAATCAATGACTGATTTGAACTTGGTGAATCTGACTTCATTGTCCTTCACTGACCAGTTTTTAGTACTTCCTTGTAAGTACTATTTGTTTTTTGCAGTTTGATCTAGCCAGCACTTCTGGTCTCATATTCACATTTTTTAGACATTTTTTTATAATGATATTTGAGGAAAGGCAAGTTGGAACTAACTTGTACAGTTCAAGATGTTTATTTATGTCATTGCTCTCTATATCTGTATCCAAATAGAGAGACTTCGAGCAAATCATTTCTGAACTTAATGATTAGAAATCTACCATAGGGACGCCTGGGTGGCTCAGCAGATGAACGTCTGCCTTTGGCCCAGGGCATGATCCTGGGGTCTCGGGATCGAGTCCCACGTCTGGCTCCCTGCATGGAGCCTGCTTCTCCCTCTGCCTGTGTCTCTGCCTCTCTCTCTCTGTGTCTCTCATGAATAAATAAATAAAATCTTAAAAAAAAAAGAAATCTACCATAAATAATAAATACCAATCGATCTATAATTGGTTAAAAAGTATGTTAGTAGCTACTTTCATCTTAAACATGTTAGCTGTGTAATGAAAGGGGATTCTTACAAAGAGATTATACCTAATAAGGGGTAAAAGAAATATGTAAAACAGTATTATAAAGTACCCTTGAAATGAAAATATAGCATTAATTTTATTATAATGGAGGATAGCATTGGCGATGTGTTTGCTGTATGGTATTGACTACACACTACAAACAAAATGATGATTATTGCTATTAGTTCCTTAATTCTCATTTTCTGATATAGGGGTTTTAAAATATTCAAAATCTCATTAGAGAGTTGTACAACTTTTCTGTTGACAACATTCATTGAAATTTTGCTCTTCTGATACTTTTGAAATTAGCCTTTGAGGAAGAAATACTTGGAAAAAAATTTGATTACCAAAGCATACCAAAACTCTTAATTTTCAGATAACAATGTCTCTATAATATACAAAACAATATGAACAAAAACTAAATATGCTATTGACTGTGAGACCAATTTGTTTTCTGGACTTATTTTGTAAATTATGTGCTATTTTATTATTTTCGTTATCTATTAAGATGTGGTTGTATCCATAGAAATCTGTGATCTGTACTTTGCACTTCACATAACTTAGGTGGCTTTCCAAATATCAGTCTCCATGAAAGGGAGGAAATGTTTTCCTCAGTAATTTTCCACTGATACCCTTCAGAATTTACTGTATATCTTGCAATTTATTATTGGAGTTCTACTACCAATAAAGACCCAAACCAAGTTTTGAGGTAAGTAGTGCTTTTAAAAAATAAAATAATATCTTCAGTTATATGAATGAAAATTAATAACTCTAACTAGAATATAAATATTTTTCTGTAAGCTATAGAAAACAAATAGTACAATAGGTTTAGTTTTGACCTGATTTGCAATTAGGAATGAGGAAACATTTTGCTCTTGAAATTATTAACAGTATCAGAGGTCTTCACTGAAATGTTCTCAGGTCTGTACCATGAACTGTACTTGGAAATAAACCCAAATGTCTATAACCACAGTTTTCCTTGAACAACTAGTTTTAAAATTTAAATGCAAAGAAATAATTTACTGTATATCTTTAAAAGTTCACTTACTCAAAATGACACACATTTAAATTTGGAGTAATTATTTTGCTTTTTAGTTCATAATTTTGGCAATTTACAAGTACTTTTTTCTAGGGGAAAAATAACAAAAAATTTACATTGGTAACTATTTTTGGAAATTTCCACACAATAAATCAGAATAATATTTCTTTAAATATATTTATTAAGAAAGGTAATGCACATAGTAGTAGTAGTCTCTTTTTTACTGAGAAAATCCTAGTGACATGATGTAGTCGGCACTCTGAGCAGAGTGGCCTCCTGTCCCAAATCTTCCTTTGGCGATGTAGTTAGGGATCGGTATCTGCGGAAAGAGAGAGGTGAAGTTATAGGTAAATTACTGAGAATTCAAAGTGAATAATCTTGAGCATCACTGAGTGAGGTTAGTGACAATTATCTTCCAGCTCATCTTGACTTTTTATGGGTTAGTGTTTTCATGATCATATCATTCCAGTCATTTTACTCTTTTCAGTAATGTTTTTTTCCCCATATAAAATAATACATTATAAAATGTTGGAATATTACATGAAACAACACATGGTTGAGCATCTGGAAAATACAGAAAGGTACAAAAGGAGAGCAAAGAAATTCCCAATCCTATCATTCAGATCTAACCATTGCTAACATTATGTGTATTTCAATCTAGTATCTTATTTATCTAACTTTCTGCCTATATGAAAATTGAGATATCACATAAAAATGTGCATATTTCCTTTTGTATCACAAAAACTCATATTAATACTTACATTAATAAGTAATCCTTCAAAATCCTATTTTAGTGGCTTCATCATAAGGAACATTTTCTAAACAATGAGCATGTATATCTTGGCATAACTTTTACAATATTTCTCTTAAAATTTAGGAAAATTCTATGCAGACACCTGGCTGGCTAGTCAGCTGAGCATGCATCTCTTGATTTGGGGTTGTAAGTTCAAGCCCCACGTTAGGTGTAGAGGTTACTTAAAAATAAAAATTTTAAAAATTCTATGCAAAGTTATACACCAAAACTATTACCTCTTAAATTATTATTTTATAATTATTAGAGGAGTCAAACTTTCTGTATGGTTAATGGATATTGCACCTCATTTTAAAATTAACTGTGCATTTACTTTATTGTAGATTTCTTTAACCTACCTTTTAATTTTAGATCAAGCTTTTTCTTAGTCTATTAAATTCATTAAGCTTTTCTTAATCTACCTTTCAATTTTTATAGAAATTGTGTCAAGTATTTTATTTAAGAATCTACATTATTTCTGGGAAAGAAAAAATTTATATCAAATGCAAATATACAGAAGATCCCAATAAAGTGCACACATATTTTCAATTATACATAAACAAGTAAAATTGAATGATGTGACCTACTCACTTAATACTTCACAAATGTGTGAAGTATTAACACTAGCACCAAAGTGTTGCTACCAACCTATGCTAATATTTAAAAGATGTATACAATTTTCTGAAACATTGTGTCTTTTAAAAATGCCTGCAAATCTAAAGTAGTATTAAAAAATAAAAACAAAGCTGCACCGGTATTAGTCTTCAAGCAGAATTTAACAATGAAAAATATATACTGGCTTTAATATCTATCATATGTCATATTATATACACACACATATATATGCATATAGGGATTGAAGATGACTATGACACTCTCACTCCAGTGATAATTATATCTCGAGACTACTTTTTAAAATCTCACCTTTTGAAAAAAATTTTAGATCCATTAATAGTTAAATGGAACATTAAGCCCTGTAAAGGATTAACAAAGAGAGTGAAACTTGATTCACATGGTTGAAAGGCAATAATGAGTTTACTTATTTATCAGATCATACATTTAGTAAGTGATTTTGAACCGCTTCAATTCCAAGTACCAGCTCTCAGAACCTAAGGGGTTGTGAATTAGAACAGATAGCATCTCTAGGTGGAAATCACATGTTTCTAGTAGAGTGTCTAGTTCAAGTTTATATAAATGTCTCCAATTGTTTCAATCACATTCATAGCAATGATTCTATATTTCCACTGAGACTGGTAGATAGTTTTTTTTTTTTAATCATTTCCCTCTCTCTTGTTAATACACTGAGGAATCAAGATCCATATCCATGGGTGAAATTCACAGATGGGATTTCATATCTGTGATTGACAAGTCTAAATGAGATTCAGGGTCAGACATACTGCACCACTGGCAGAGAGAGAATCAAATGAAAAGTCAGGGGATAATGGCCAGTTGTGCTTATCATTCTCTTTTTTTTTCCCTGCTTTCAGGCAGAAACACACTCTAGCGGCTGTCACTCACTCATTACTAGGGCTGTCTCTGCCTGGGCTGGGAGTGACACAGCAGGATATTACTGTCTGAATTGCTAAGTATCTCTTAGGCAAAGATAATAATTAAAATATTCTGATTTCAAAATGGTAATTCTTTTTGGCCTAGCATTGTGGTATAAGTGGATAAGGATACAGAGTAAATTGTTAATACTGTGCTACACCAAATGAAGCATGTCTTCCTTTGTCATTTCTGCCGCTTCTACGTAATATGACCGTGTTCATGACTATTAATATGTGGCATATTTATATACATAAACGTTATACAGTTTAAATATGCATTGTTAAGTATCAAAGAAATAGATTTGTAATATAAATCCATATATATATTATATACTACTGACTAATTGTTCCCAAGCACTTGCTAGACATAATATCTCTGAGATCAAATTAGATATTATATGGGGAGCCGGGGTGTCTCAGTCGATTGGGTGTCTGCCTTGGGCTCAGGATGTGATCCCAGCATCCTGGGATGGAGCCCGGCCTTGGGCTCCCTGATCAGGGGAAGCCTGCTTCTCCCTCTTCCTCTGCCACTTCCTCTGCCTATGCTCTCTCAAGTGTTCTCTCTCTCAAATAAATAAATAAATCTTTAAAAAATAAACTGCAGCATTTCTATAAAAAATATTATTTTAAAAAATAAATATATTTTGCATTTGTAAGTGTGGAAACAGTTAAATGAGACTGAATCAGTATTTGCAGAATTTCTCCTTTAGCCTAACACAGGGCTAGTATTTTTATTTTATTTCATCAAATTCTCACAAAAATTTACTATATCAGTATTATGTCTAAAGCATGATTAAAAACACTGTGTTTGGGCAGCCCGGGTGGGTCAGAGGCTTAGGGCATGATCCTGGAGACCTAGGATGAGTCCCATGTCAGGTTCCCTGCATGGAGCCTGCCTCTGCCTCTCTCTCTCTCTATCTCTCTCTCTGTCTCTCATGAACAAATAAAATCTTTAAAAAAATAAAAATAAAAACACTGAGTTTCCAAAATTATGTAATTTCCCAGAATTCAAACAGCTAATACAAGGTAAAATTAAGATTTCAACTGGAAAAAAAAAAAAGATTTCAACTGGGTTTTCTCTGACTCCTGAATCTATGCGTTTTCAGATACAAGTTGCTTATGGTGATGATTGACCAAGGATAGACCTAAGGGGTAAGGGGGTCATTATTTCTCAAACAGTGAGATGTTCTTTATAGTATGAGAAGGCTAGCTTTATTTATTCAAGAATTTTGAAAACATTAAGAAATCAATTTGATGTGGTTCCTCAGCCCCCCTCCTTCTCTCATGCATTAAAATGTACAATACCAATTCTAATTGTTCATCCTATTGAGTTAAAGTTATTTCACTTCTCTGACCTTTCACATGATCTAGAAATTTACTTCAGTGGTAGGATAGTTGTATTTCTCAACCCAGAACTATTGTATAAAATTTAGAGGTCACAGATTCAAATGCCTATAGCTTTCACAGCTATGCGTGTATTCAGTTGGATGGGAAAGAATAATGAGTGATGGGCCTGTTGTGAATTGGAGCCTGCAAGCTCCTTATGAAGGTGTTCAGATCCACTTAAAAACAAACAACAATGTCTCAAACACAACACTTGAATATGAAATAATTCAACCCAAGGCTGCAAGTGTACACTTAATGTTCATAGATATTTTAAGCACCTCAGAAGTTAGTATAATATTCAAATATTATCAGAATTCAGTTAAATGTTTCATTTCCTTAAGTATTCCTTTTGTGAACAACATTCTAATTATTTTCAAAGAGACTGAAGCAGTATAGTTGCTGATACATGCCTTCAGAAATACTCCTTTAGGGAAGCCTGGGTGGCTCAATGGTTTAGCACCGCCTTCAGCCCAGCGCGTGATCCTGGAGACCTGGGTTCGAGTCCCACGTCAGGCTCCCTGCATGGAGCCTGCTTCTCCCTCTGCCTGTGTCTCTGCCTCTCTCTGTGTCTCTATGAATAAATTTTAAAAATCTAAAAAAATAATAATAAAAGAAATACTCCTTCAGAGGCACCTGGGTGGCTCAGTGGGTTGAACATCCAACTCTTGATTTTGGTTCAGGTCATGATCTCAGGGTCATGAGATTGAGCCCCAAGTTGGGCTCCACACTCAGAGTGAAGTTTGCTTGTCCCTTTCCCTCTGGTGTCTCCCTCACCCCCAACCCCTTGCATCTCTCTCTCTCTCTCTCTCTCTCTCTCTCTGTTTCAAATAAATAAATAAATGACATAAAATAGGAAGTAAGGAAAACCATGCCTCAAGATTTCTTTCAAGTTTGTATATGGTTATGCCTATTTTATAAATGAGAAATTTAAGTCACCAGGGAAATGTCAATGTGCTATAAAATATTTCTAAGAAATTAAATCACATGCCAGAAGTCTAGCACTTCAAAATTGATATTAGAGATTATAAAAGTTTAAAAGTTTAGGGGTTCTTCTTTGGAGGGGTGGTAAAATGAGAGAAACCATCAAGCTTTTACATGGAGACACCGCTGGGATTTCCTAAGTCTCATGCTTTGGTTGCAGGGGCCATCTAGGACGTTGATTTGGCCTTGTTGCTAACCAGGCTTACGTCTTCTCCTCTTCTCTTTGTTTGCTCCCCTGAAGGTGTATTCTAGAGGAAGAATCTTCCCTTCCATGATAGAGCAATAGAGGAGGACCTCTGGGCCAAAAGTTTTACTTGTGGTTCTTTTCCCTTTACAAAACTCTGCTGCTCATCCACGATGTCCTGGTGGACCCACTGTGTGTCTGTTAAGCAGTACTCAGACTGCTCAGCACTTGCTTCCAATGTATATCCAGGCTCTGTGGATTACTTCTCCACCTTTCATTTCACTTTGTTATTTCTCCTTATTCAGCAGCGCATTGTGAATAGATTGGATTATTAGTTAATGCAGACCTTCGGGTTGTTGCTAGGACAAAAAGGCAGGCTTTGTTTGGGGAATAATATTTGTTCCCAGTTTTCTCCTGGAAACATAAGAGCCTTTCCCTTTTAAGCAGATTTTTTTTCATTCTGAAACCATGGTAAATATTTCCAATTGATTGAGTAGGCATATTGTACATTTCAGGGACTCCCACTGCTGATGGGGAATCTTCAGCTGAGCACACACTCATGTGTTACTTTCTTACAGGAGGCGATCGAGATCGGATGACAGCAAACCATGAGAGCTATCTCCTTATGGCAAGCACCCAGAATGATATGGAAGACTGGGTTAAGTCCATCCGCCGAGTCATATGGGGACCTTTTGGAGGAGGTGAGTATATATAGAATTATGGAAGAACAGAAAGGTAGGCCAAACCTATTCATCTTGACCCTCTCAACTGATGTTAGTATCAGCTCCTATTTTCAAATGGATGACTGTTAAAATAAATAGCAAACTATTCTATGTTATTATTAAGACATATATCTGAGTAACTCCCAGAAGTTTCATTTAAATCAAATATCATCAATAACCAACTTTTTAAATGACTATCTTGAATTATAAAAAAGGGATGATATGTTTTTTTGTTTTGGATTTTTCCATTTCACTGACAATAAATAGTCAGTCATAAGAATGGTACTATAAATGTAGATTAGTGAAGACCATGTGGATATGGGGCAAAAAAAAATTTGAAGAGTATCTTTGGAGGGGAACCTAGCCCTGAGATGATCAGTGATATCAAAGAAGAATGGCAAAGCTCTAGATGAGAATCTGATGATGACCAGAGTAACAAGATGCTTTGTGATCAGGCAAATGTTTGTGGATTCAATAAATTTTTTAAAAAATCTTAGTTAATATAGTTTTGAGAATGCACCCTGTGAGAAATAAATTAAATGGCACTGTAAATAGAACTAAAGGGAGGAAGAAGGGGTAAAAAACATGATCTTTGTCTATCAAAGATTATTAAATAAAAAGATATGACATAAACAGACAAATTGTATAAAGCAAAAACTCAGTAAGTGGAATGGAAATGATAAGGACTCCAAAAAATTTACCTATAACTGGGCATCCCCGGTGGTGCAGCGGTTTGGCGCCGCCTGCAGCCCGGGGTGTGATCCTGGAGACCCGGGATTGAGTCCCACATCGGGCTCCCTGCATGGAGCCTGGTTTTCCCTCTGCCTGTGTCTCTGCCTCTCTCTCTCTCTCTCTGTGTCTATGAATAAATAAATAAAATATTTAAAAAAATTACCTATAACCAACACATATTTCCCAGTGTAAAGCCTAATTATTTTATTTTGATGTAATTAAAATAAATTGTATTAAATCAAATTCATAGTTAGCAAACCAATTATAATTCCAATATTTATTTTATATTCTCTTTTGTCTATTGTCAGCACCCTGAATTCAGAAGTGAATTTTTTCCACCTAACATATTAGATACTTCCTAGGCTGACTCACCATTTTACATTTTAGAATAACTTCAAAGGTATACTTTAAAAGCTGGAAGGTTAAGTTTTACCAGGTAAATGATACAGGTTTGCACATTGTCTGTTTTCTAGCAGTGCCTTCTGCTGGGGTAGGAGGAGGTTCTTCATCCAGTTTGCCTGGTGACAGTCTGGTTCACCTCAAACTGCTGTCCCAGGATGATAATTTTTCATAGTGCTGCTTTTCACTTTCATGGTGTCCTAGTTTGGGAGACAACTTAGACAGTGACCCTATTTATATCCTAAAATGGCTAGTAAATGACTATGACAAACATTTGAAAAGGCCTGCGGGCTGATATCGCATCTACAATATTAGCAAAAGTTTGCTCGAGATTGTTCTTTTATTTTTTAAAAGATTTTACTTATTTATTCATGAGAGACCCAGAGAGAGAGGAAGAGACATAGGCAGAGGGAGAAGCAGGTACCCCTCAAGGAGCCTGATATGGGACTCAAACCCAGGACCCTGATATCACAGCCTGAGTCAAAGGCAGACACTCAATCCCTAAGCCACCCAGGAGCCCCTCATGATTGTCCTTGGGACATATACTCACCCGCTGGAGTTTTGCTGGTACCTCCAGAGCCAGGGATTTGTGGGGTGTCTGAAGATGTGTCTTCTAAAGACTCTCTTTCCCCCATTACCAAATCTCTGTGGCTTCTGAGTTTAGGAGGATCCTTAGTACCTCTTGAAGGAAGTATTTTTGTTCAGAATTATTTCCATAAAGTGTCCTATTTTCTCCCTTTCCTCCTCTTCCATCTGTCCTTTTCTGAAAAAAATGACTGAAGTCCAATTAGCTCTATCAAATTAGTAGGCACAGAGGTCCTACCAGCCCAGGAGTCCCAGAAGTTCTCACAGCGGGACTAGACAGGAGCTGTATATAAATCTTCAAATTTATGAACTTAGCAGGGAGCCCTGGTAGTTGATAAGTTGATGTACAGTTGTCCCTCCTCATTTGAACCTCTTTCTGCGGTTTTCAGTTACTCACAATCAACTATGATCCAGAAGCAGATGATGCTCCTTCTGACCTATCATCAGAAGGTCAATAGAAGCCTAATATTATGTCACGATATCTGTGTCATTCAGCTCACTTCATTTCATCATATAGGCATTTTATCATTTCACATCATCACAAGAAGGGTGAATACACTACAAGATATTTTGAGAGAAAGAGGCCACATTCACATTATTTTTATTGCAGTGTATTGTCATTATTCTATTTTATTATTAGTTATTGTTGATTGCTCACTGTGCTTGCTTTATTATTAAACTTTATCATAAGTGTGTATCTGTAGGAAGAAACAGTATATATAAGATTCAGGACTGAATCCCAGTTTCAGGCATCCACTGGGGGTCTTAGAACATATTTCCTGTGGATAAGAGGGGATTATTATACTTTATCCTATGAAATGGGCTTCAGGGATTTTGTAAATGTTTGATTCAAATTTACTTGTAAAAAAAAAGATATATTTTAGCTTAGGATGCTTACCATAGAAACAATGCTCCAATAAAAATTTTTCTGCCCTTTTTATTTAATTAAAGAATATTATGAGAATGCAAGGGAAGCTTTTAAACTACATATTCCATTTGCAATAAATCCTTTGTGAGTCAACTGAACCATACAATTTTTAAAGTAAATGTGGAATATAGAACCAAATTGAATGCTGACATTTGTAGAAGATCGCAATTGTCACCCATAATCTGGGACCCTCTCTGGTCACTGATTGAATTTTAAAGAAATATTATAAATTTGTGTTTCAAACAAATTTTGTTTGTAGAACAAAACTACAAATCCTTTTAATTATCTTATATACTAGAACTACAAATCCTTTTAATTATCTTATATACTAGAAATACACTTACCATTTCATTGAAAATATGCTTTCTACTGATAAAGAATATTTTAAAACCTCTGATTTAGTTCCATCCCACATTTTGTATATTAGGTCATTAAGACCCAGGGAGGGTGATCAACTTGCCAATTGCCAATCACACTGTGAGGAACAGAACTAGGAAGAAAACTCAAGGCTTCTGGTTTGTGAGATACCCCTACTTTCTCGCACAGTAATGTGATCCATTACCGCTACTGTGGGAATGAAAAACCCACAATTACTAGTAGTATATCCTTCAGTATATGAAAAAAAAATTTTTAATTATGCTAATTAAAATAAATATGGTTTTTCAAATCATTCAAAAACACCTGAATTGACAATGATGGGAAGTGAAACTACAACCAACAGATTGGGAAGAGGTATTTCCAGATTATATATCTAAGTAATGAACTTGTATCTGGAATTTATAATGAACTCTTACAACTCAGTAATAGAAGGGAAATTAAAAATTTGACTCGTTTTGACCCAACTGATAAATGAACAAAGAATCTGAATAAATATTCCTCCAAGGAAAACATGCAAATGGCCAAAAAGCACATGGAGAAATGCTCAGTGTCATTAGTTATCCAGAAAATGCAAATCAAAATCACAATAAGGTACCACTTGATACCCACTAGAGTCAGGAAGTCCAATAATAGCAAGTATTGATGAGATGTAGGAAAATCAAAAAGCTCCTACATTGCTAAACAGAATGCCAAATGGAGCAGCTGCTTTGAAAAAGAATCTGATGTATTTCTTCAATCAATTAAACACAGAGTTATCAACTGACCAGCATTTGCACTCCTAGGTAGATACACACCCAAGAGAAATAACATATGTTCACACAAAAACTTGTGCATGAATATTTATAGCAGCATTATTGTTAATAGCCAAAAAAGTAGAAATGCCCAAATGTCCATCAATAGACAAATGAGTCAATAGAATATGGTATATCCACACCAGGGATTATTAAGCATCCATAAAAAAGAATGAGGTACTCATACATGCTACAATGAGAGTAAACCTTGAAAACATTATGCTCAGTGGAAAAAGCCAGTCACAAAAGGCTACATAGCATATGATTCTGTTCATATGAAAGTAAGGAACAAGGAAAGCTCTAGAGACAGAAAGTAGATTAGCGGTCACTTAGTGTTGGGATGGGAATGTTGGAGGGGATAGGTGATAACCCAAGTTACTGGATTTCTTTCTGAGGTGATGAAAATATTCTAAAATTGACTAGGATGATGATTGTATATGTCTGTGATATGCTAAAAGTCACTGACTCATATACATGAAATGGATGAATTCTATGATATGTGAATTATATCTCAAAAAATCTGTTAAAAAAATTCCTCAGTTGCTGTAATTGCCTTTCATAAGAAAATACATTTCTCCTCTTTATCTTAGTTATGGAACCCAAGACTCTGTTAATCCTAAATAAAGACCTCTTAGACTCCAGTCTCCTTCCTAGTGCCTAAATATTGTTGTGGTTATTGATTAAATGGTATTTGCAAAGACACTTGGAAGGTGACATATCAGTCTGATGTATAATTTCTTTTCTTAATGCATTATTTCTGTTTAGCACCTTTGGATACATTTTAAGTGTGTTTATTACAGAAAGGGCATTTCATGACCTCTACTGCACTTTCATAGCCTGTGTTTTGAAAAAGTAAAGTTTATCATGAGACACCTAGGCTTATCCTAGTTCAGGTTGCATATGCATGTAAAATATTCCCCCTTTACCATTACAATAACAATTTGATGAAAAGTAGGAGACACCTGAGAGCTTGCCAAGCTCTTCAAACTCTTAGGAATGAAAACCTGTAATGTGAAAATCTTAAAATGTAGAGCTGTGGAATTGTTTTTTTTTTTCTTTTTATTAAAGAAATCAAACTTACAACAGATAATCAGATAAGGGAAGGGAACCGATGGAAATGGAAGAAGTAGGCGTTCACTTAACAACCGAGCCTGACAACAAAAGTATCTATTGACTCTAGATACTTCAGCTTTGTGTTATCTGCTTAAAACCACTTGTAAACAGCTGCTTCCCCATTAAAAATGTTGAGAGGGGCGTGGTTTCTGTCTAAAAGTCAAATCCGAAATTTAGGATGTCAAAGCATTTATTTAGCTTTGGAAAAACTCAGTGGTTTTGTTTTGCTTACTTATTTTTGCTTTTTTTTTTTTTACACTTTTTTTTAAAGATTTATTTATTTATTTGAGAGAGAGAGCACAAGCAGGGGGAGAGGCAAAGGGAGAGAGGAAAAGAGAATCTCCAGCAGACTCCTCACTGAGCGGGCAGTCTGATACAGAGCTTGATCCAATGACCCTGAGATCATGACTTGAGCTGAAATCAAGAGTTGGTTGCTTAACCAGCTGAGCCACTCAGGCACCCCTACACTGTTTGGGTTGTTTGTTTGTTTAATTCTTTTCAATTGTTTTTGAAGCAATGTGAATGGAAGTGCCAAGCCCAAGGGTGTGGGAAGAGTGTGAATCCACAGAGTTTTCATTAGATCTGAGCGTTTTGCCTAAATTTAATGACTAACAAAATCGGTTCTTTCTGTATTTCTGTCTCCTTACAAAAAGAGTTGAGCCAGAGACCTATCGATGCAGTAAAAATACTTCATGTGAATAATTCTCATGATGAACACCTGGCATGTGGCCAAGCAAGGGTTAATTAAGAGGTAATGTGGTCTCTCACCTCTGACATAGTCAGCTGTGTGACCTTGGGTAAGGAGTAGGACCCCCTCTCCAGACTTTCCGTTTGCTTGTTTGTAAAATAAGAAAATTAGACAAAACCGTTTCAACTGAGATTCTTTCTGGCTCCAAAGTCCTGTGATTGATTACATGTGTTCCCTCCATCCCAATGCTCAGGTCAGTAAGGTCTTCAGCTGGCTGATGCCTCTGGGTCCAGCATTGTCACTGTCTTGTTTATACTGAGTAATACTTTGTGGTTCCCTATTTTTTCTAGTAGCATGCTGTGACGGTGAAGGCAAAGATTTGAACCATAGGGCAGAAGTCACTACTGATGATTCCTTCAGTGACAAACTATTACCTATCTGGGCATGCTTATCAGAGAAGTGATGTTTCTAAAGGGAGCACCCTTGCAGGATTCCTCACAGTTTTGTAGCACTGGCGTCAAATAGCTTGGAAGGAACCCCGAGACCTTGGGGGTCAGATGGGGTTAAAGCACTGGCATTCTGAATCTGCCCATGGAACAGCCAGGTGGATGAATGATTAACCCAGTGAGCAAATTGTTCAGCGAGGGGGATGGAGAGTGTTGGTGGACATGAGGGCTGGGGCCGAGAGGGTGCGTGCAAGAGCAGAGGAGAAAGTTGAGAGCAGGATCGGTTTTCAAACCATTACCAGAGATGTAGATAAATAGATACGGACGTATAAATACGCATATGGGCACACACCCAGGAGTTGAGTTCACACTTCTTCTTGGTGGCTGTACCTGCAGGGGCTTTGTTACCAGATTGAGAATATTTTTCCTACTTCACAGACACACGTGTGTGTACAAGTCCGCACACGTGTGTAAGGGCTAGGCACACTGGAGCCGGCACTCACGGGCAGACTGAACTGCCAGATCTCTGGGCAAAGTCTTGGATAGGAGGAGAGTCCATGCAGGAAGGGGGGGTGGTAGTGGGTGGGGGTGGGCGTGGGGGTGGGGGGTGGGGGGTGGTAAAAGTTCACCCCCCTGGCGTCGGGTAGGTGCTGCTGGGCCTCTGCAGCGGCTCGCGCAAGGGCCGGCAGCGGACGCAAGGCGAGAGGAGGGGGCCCTGCGCCCGCCGCTCTCTGCTGTGCCTGCACCTGCTGCGTGTGCCCGGCGGCAGCGAAGCAGCCAGCCGCAGCCCAGCGCGGTGCCCGGTGCCGGTACGAGCCGCCGAGCCGCCGCCGCGCCCGCCCAGCCCTCATCGAGAAAAGGGGGACGAACCGGGCGGCCGCAGGGGGAGGAAGGGGGAGGAGAGGCTCCCTGCGGAGCGGCCTCCCCCGCGGCCCGGCCCGGGCGCCGACTCTCCTGACGCGGAGCTTCCTCCTCGGCAGCCCCGGGACTTAGAAGACAGAAGGGAAGAGGGAGAAGCCCGCAGAGAGCATCAAAGGCTGAGGGGTGCCTTGAAAGGACCCGGGCAGTCCTTTGAAAAGAACCTATCGTGCACTGCAGTGCTTTCTGGAGAAGGTGCCATTATTTGCTTCCCCCTTTGCTCAGATGAAAGGAGCCGGCAAGGACGGTCCCGCAGCAGTCCGCAGGGGCCTTTTCTGTCATTGTTCCTTTTCCCCCGTGCACACGGCTGTTTGCTGACCTTTCCAGAGGAATCTCAGCACCCCCCAGTTGCAGCTGAGAAGACCGTTCTTAATAAAAAAGAGAAAGAAAGAAAGAAAGAAAGAAAGAAAGAAAGAAAGAAAGAAAGAAAGAAAGAAAGAAAGAAAGAAAAAGAGAAAAAACTAAAACCATTCCTGCTGTTTGAATGGGAGATGCAGCTTGCCTTGCTGCAGTTCTTTTTTGCTGTGACATTTTGGAATGTCTGCAGAAACTTACAAAACAAAACACCCAAACCTTAAAACTCCTTGGAATAGGGGAGAGAAAAGGAAGTTTTTGCCCAAAAAAAAAAAAAAAAAAAAAAAAGAAGAAGTCAATGAGAGGTGGTAACTTACCCCTGATCCAGGAGCTGGAGGATAACAGCCTTCAAGTTCTAGGAATCAGCACTTCAACCCTAACAAATCAACATGAGAAGGAGTGGCTGTGGGGTATCGCGCAGAGGCAGGTCTTAAAAGAAGCCTGAAACGGGTTCAGAACTTCGGGCCTGTATGATGCCTGAGGACCGACCTACTGGGGGACGCCCCTCAGGTGCCCTAGCGTCAACTCCTTTCATTCCTAAAACTACATACAGAAGAATCAAACGGTGTTTTAGTTTTCGGAAAGGTAGGTAGATGATCTGTTAATGTCCATCTAAAAAAAATATTCAGATATTCTCTGATGTTTTAAGGTCAGTTTATGTTCAGATAAAATGGGACTTTGAGAACCAAGAGCTTAGAGCTGTACAGGAGGGATTTGTGCGTGTCTCTGCTGGTCTGTATTTGTTTTTCAAGGTTCATATTGATCTGTTGATGACTGTGAGTGGGCTGGATAGGTGGAGCTTAAAGAATGGGAGTCCTATAGGGATCACCTTGACTGATGGAAAGCCGGGGAGCCGGCCTGGCCCTTCGGGGAGGAGGGGCCGGGGTGGCCACCTTGGGCTGCTGTCACCCCCAAATCCAGCAGCCATGTTGTTGCTTCTTGCACTCAGCCCCTCTCAAATCCTTGTCCTCTATTCCCATCACATTGGTTTTGCTCTGGCTGCCTGTGCCTCACCTCCCCCGCTGAGAAAATTTTAATAACTAGATTATCTGTAGTGACCCCTTTTCAGGAGCCTTTTGACCATATTGACTAACACTGATAAGAAATAGGAGTCACCTTGACTTTCCAGATGTATCAAAAGGTGGCCTTGTCAGAGGCCAAAGATACGAACTATAAGGAGTAAGGAATGGGAAAATATAGCAATTTATGATCAATAAAAGGAGCTATGCATTTCCCAGTTGATTCGTGCAAGGGGAGTGGAAGGGTACGGCATAGGTAAAATAAAATGCTTTTAGAAAACATGTATGTATCAAAATATTTTTAAGTGTCACTTTGCTTTAAAATGGGGATAATTAAATGAAGTGGTTATTTAAATTGGAACTAGGTAGTTATGATTTTAATGTCATGCATAGTGAGCTAATAATTTAATCAGGAGCAGATGTGACTAGCATCGAAGGTTCTTTCTCCCTTTTTTTTTGATCTGCTATCTATTCATTAACCCTTTCTACTTACTAACCAAAGAAAGAAAGAAAGAAAGAAAGAGAAGAAAACAAAGAAAAAAACCACATGTATAAAGTAAAATATAGTAGGAACTTTTTAAGACTAAACGTTGTTCCTTCTGAGTCTTTCCCTCTGAGCAGTTAAGATCTACCTGTAGTCATTATCATATATTATTAGCAAAGAATACAGGTGTTAATTTGTATTCCTCTCTCATCCACAAAGGTAATTAAGTGAGAGATACATGTGTGGTTACTGTTAAGCCTGCATCCTTGACAGGGAAATTGCTAACAATAGAAATTGGAAAAAAGCTATGGAGTAATTGCTTAAAGGACTTTCTCTCTTTCTAGCTCTTCCAGCCCTCAGCAACTAAATCAAGTTTATCCAAACAGGCAGAGAAGGTCTACTTTTCCAGACTTTTGGTGCTCATTTGTAGCATGAGATATTCTGGGGACAATTAGTATATCTTTGAACTACAGAGCAAGGTGGTTTTGACCTTTTCCACCTTCTCTCCAATAGTGGAGCATAGATTATCTGCAAGAATCCTGCCTAACACTGCTCTTTGTGGTGCTCTCTTCCCTTTCTCCTTAAATACCAGGGAGGGAAGGCAGCACCTGCAGGGAGAATTCCCATGGGCTGGCAAATGGCACCCACAGGAATGCTTCCACCTATCATCACTCCTGTGGGTTATTTTTAAACTCTTGTCCTGTCCTTTGCAGTCTTCGTAATCTGAGGAATGTTCAGCACGGGACTCAAGGATGAACAGATTTCTAATTTACAAAACCATATTGTGGCTTCTGGCAGAACCATAAAGGAGAGGAGGAGCAGAAGCATGGAGCTGTTGTAGGTTTTCTGGCCCTCCAGCCAGAGCTGGCGGCACACCAGGCTCTCTCATTCCCTGGCTGCACACTACAGTTGTGCAGTGAGGCTCTGGGAGAGAAGCTGCTTCTGTGTGCGCAGCCTAATGGCTGGAGCCCGCTGTGGCATGACTCACAGAGTGTTTACATCTTTATTTAAGGGCCTGCACTGAAAAGAATGGACTTTTATTTCCATCCTGGGCCCCCCAACCATGCTACCTTAAGAAGAGAGTGTTCTTTTGTGCCTTGTTTAATCTCCCGGGTGCTCAAGTAGTTCAAGAAGTGGACTGGGTTCTGCGTTTCTGCCTTCCTCAACCAAGCCTATTGCAGAGCATCGGCTTAAGTCATTTTCAATGAAAGCAAAAGGAAGAGTGCATGATTCATGGAAAAGCACCCAGAAGCAAAGAATGTTGACGCATCTGCTTTTCCCGATCCACATTTAAAACTTTTTTTTTTTTTTTTTTTTACCGTTTTCAAGGCTAGGCCAACAGAAGAGGAGACTTGCCACTTTAGAAATGCCCTCAGAATGAAGTGTGGAGTTGACTTAAAGTTTCCAGAGGCCTGGTGGTAATGGAGCCTGCATGCTGAGCAGGCCCTAAATGACTTCTCAGGGTTGCTTTCTCTTCCAGATCCGTTTGGTCCTTTACTGTCCTTTTCATCGCTCCATTTCTTTGTTTGGGTGCTAATACAGATCACTGAAAATGCTTTCCCAGGGGTTTTAAAAATCTAGGAGCTGAGAAACATTTCTTAGGCAGTGCTTTGGATTTATGTTCTGGAGAGAGAATGATTACAATGTATTTTTACCTTGTTGATTTTGAAACTATATATATATATATATATATATATATATATATATATATATGTAATTTTTTTTTACCTCTATAAGACTAATATATAATATGTGAAGCATAACCAGCCTTTTGATGACCTGGAGGTGCATCTATTTAGGTTCCTGAATGGTAGTGTTAATTTCCAGTCATAATAGGCTAGCTAGCTGATTTTGGGTTGTTATACTCACAGGACACACTGAAGAAAATTTTTCTGTTTTTTTGTTTTTTGGGGTTGTGTTTTGTTTTGTTTTTCTGAATTGCTCTCTTCTTAGAGATAAGTCATCATTCATTCTCTAGAGCTTTTCCCCTACATGGTAACCAGTTAGTAGCTGTACACTCTTGATTCTTCTTTCTTTATAGACTTCCAGCTCCATTGCAGTTTCTATCACCTTAGCTCCCTGTGCGTTTTTGTTTTGTTTTTTGTTTTTGTTTTTTTTTGTTTTGTTTTGTTTTTTTTTTTTACTTCATGCACAACATATTTTAACCTCAGAAGAAGCTCTTCAAGACAGCATCCATCCTCACTTGTTTCCACCCTAATGTTCTTCACAAAGTCCTACAACACACAGGCCATTTGTAAAGCACTGACCAATGGATATTTCTGAAATAGTATTCTCAAGTGTCCCACAGCTCAAACATTTTTTATGAGTCCCTATTGCTCTCAAGAGGAAGTCCTAACTCTTTCAAGTAATTATCAAGGCCTTCTAACCAGTTCCATCTATTCACTAGAGAATAAACTCCCAGTTCCCCAGACTATCCCACTCTTTCTCCCTAAATATGTGTGCTACTCCACCTCTTTGCTTTTTTTCCACTATTCTATGACACTTTCCCTGCTCTGTTCAAACTTCATGCTTCCTTCCAGGCATTATTGGTTCTCATTTCTCATCAAGTCTTCTCTGTTCACCCAAACCTTCTGTGTAGTCCTTATATTTCTTATATGCTGCCTCCTGGCCACCTTATCTTTATAGCCATCTTAAAGAGCTTCATATACATTTGTGGTGAAAGATAGATAGATAGAGATAGATAGATACAGATTTGTCTACTTCTTCCCAGGATGAAGAATGGTCTATTGAATCAAGGATTCGAAGTTTATTGCAAATCAGTGAAGTACAGTATCATTATGTATCTTTTCCTATTAGTCCATAGGCAATAATGAGTTAAAATAGGTTACCTTTGGGACGCCTGGGTGGCTCAGTGGTTGAGCGTCTGCCTTCGGCTCAAGGCGTGATCCCGGGGTCTGGGATTGAGTCCCACATCGGGGTCCTTGCATGGAATCTGCTTCTCCCTCTGCCTCTCTCTCTGCCTCTGTGTGTGTGTGTGTGTGTGTGTGTGTGTGTGTGTGTGTCATGAATGAGTAAATAAGATCTTTAAAAAAAACAGGTTACCTTTGTGATGGTTGTGACATGGTTGAATAAAACCAACATTTTCTTTATTGTATGTTGTGTATTTTGTAGTCAGATTTATGGCAGTAGATTTGTTCAATAGAATGCTACTATCCAAATGCATATAATTTTAAATGGTGCTATAAATGAGTAGTTCATTAATTCATTATATCAAAATTTTATGGAACACATAACCAGGTGATTCTGGAGATGAATAAGCAAACAAGATAGGTTGCCTTGAATCTATGAGTTCACACACTCCCTTGAGGATAAAGAGACATAGTCACTCTGTGGTAAGAACTACAACAAATTATATATGAAAACTGGGGAGCCCTTGAACAAAAGACCGACTATGGGCTTATTTGGATTCATCTGAACTATGTGAAATCAAATTTAATCATTTAGATAGAAATCAGAATTAGACATTTTCTCCTATATTATCCTAAAAGAGTAGTCAGCATGCCTATGAAAAAAAATGTCTGAATTGAATTAATATAACATAGTAGAAAAGGAAGATTTTTAGAATTGTATAGACAAGTGTTTGTATCCCAGATCTGCCACTTTCTAGATGTGTGATCTCAGATCACCTATCATCTCTGAATCAGTTTGTAGAAGGGAGACGTCCTTGAAGAATAGTTGTGTCAAATAAGAAAATGCATATAAATTGCATGGCTTGGTACCTAACATCAATAGTGTCTGCTGGTCTGGGGCCTAGGCCACTAGACCACTATGCTGGCATAATTACACTTCTCAGTTTATCTAAGACTTTCTTTTTCTCCCTCCTTCTCCACTCTGACTACAAAAAGAATCAAGATTCTACCAGACATTCACTGGCTATATTGATTCAGAGCTCCTGAGATTAAAAGATTTTTACTCATATAAGA